ACTTGGGCTGCTTCCATAATTTGACTATTGTAAATAATGCTGCTCTAAACATAGGGATGTATGTATCCCTTTGAATTAGCGTTTTTGTAGTTTTTAGGTAAACAGCCAGTAGTGCAATTACTGGATTACAAAGTAGTTTTATTTTTAACTTTCAAGGAACTTTCATACTGTTTTCCACAGTGCCTGCACTACTTTGCATTCCCAACAGTGCACAGGGTTTACTTTTTCCCACATCCTCTCCAACACTTGTTGTTTCTTGTGTGTTTTATTTTAGCTATTCTGATGGGTGTGAGGTGATGTCTTGCATTTCTCTGATGATGAGTGATGTTGAGCATCTTTTCATGTGTCTGTTGGCCATCTGTATGTCTTCTTTGGAAAAGTGTCTCTTCATGTTTTCTGCCCATTTTTTGAGCAGAAGACATGAACAGACTTTTCTCCAAAGAAGGCATACAGATGACTAACATGTATGTGAAAAAGGTGTTCAACATTACTAATCATCACAAAAATGTAAATCAAAATCATGAGATATCACCTTACATCTGTCAGAATGTCTATTATCAAAAAAACAAAAGACAGCAAGTAATGGTAGGGATGTAGAGAAAGTGGAATCATAAACACTGCTGGTGAGAATGAAAAATAGTGTGGTTGCTGTGGAAAACAATATGAAGGTTCCTCAAAAAATTGAATGTAGAACTACAAAATGATCCAGCAACACCACTTCTTGAGTATTAAAGAATTGAAATCAGGATCTTGAAGAGATATTAGCACACTCATGTTCATTGCAACACTATTTACAATAGCCAATATTTGGAAACAATCTAAATGTCCATGGACAAAGGAATGGATGACAAGATGAGATATATACATACGATGGAATATCATTCATCTTTAAAAAAGGAAGCTGTTTTGCAACATGTGATAACATGGGTGAAACTTGAGGACATTATGTTAAGTGAAATATGCAGTCACAGATAGACAACTACAAGCATGAATACATTTATATGAAGTATCTAAAAGAGTCAAATTCATAGAATCAAAGAGTGCAATGGTAGTGGCTGGGGATGAGGGAAAAGAGAAATGGGAACTTACTAATCAATAAATTTCAGGTAAGCAAAGTGAATAAATTCTAGCTATCTGCTGTACAACATTGTACCTGAAGTCAACAGCATTGTATAGTACACTTAAAAATTTGTCAAGAATGTAGGTCTCATGTGCGTAAGTGTTCTTAAGCACTGTTGCTGTAATAAAATTAATTTAGAAAAAGAATGAAATGCCTTGAAGCCCAGAAACATTTTCCTATCATTTCAGGCCTCACTTAATATTAACATTTTGGTGGATTAAAATATAATGTTTACATGCTGCTTAAAGAGAGTATAAAATATTCTTGGGAATTTTCTTTAATATGGAAGGAAAGAAACTAAGAATCTAACAGAACTTGATGTTAAGACCATTTGTTTTAAGCTTCTACTGAATGTAGTTACCTAATTTCATTATAATTTTGGCATCAGCAATATAAATAACAGTAGTTCTACTGAAGTTACAAGTAATTATTCACTACTTTCCAATTGGGTTTGCCTGTCATGCTTAATAATGTAAATAAATATTTTATGAACAGTTTATGCACAGAAGTTTTCTCCAATAGTTTTTCTAATTCTTGGAAGTTATATATATTTTTGCATATAACATTATTCTATGCATTACAGGTACACAGTCTATATAAAGAACTTGACTATCAAAAACTAAAAACTGAATCAACATACACAAAATATTAATCATGATTTAAAAAGTTTAGGTATGTTTACAGCAAAGTTCAGGAAAAATTCAACATAATCCAGTATATCTTATGAATACAAAATGAGGAGATGTCAAAACACCAAACAGCTGCACAATATCACAAAAAAGTGCAGTGGATCAGAGATCAATAAGCCTGCCCAAAGCATGAAACTCTCCAGTAAGGACACTTCAGATTGTGTCTTGGGGAAGTCATTCCTCCCCTGTCCTTATCTTATAATTTCTAAAATTGGAGAAATGATGATTCATGACCTGCTTATTCATGAGCTGGTTCAGAGTGATAAATGAAGTATTGCTTCAGAAATTCTTGGCATAATGCAATCAACAAGCCCAAAATGTATCTATAATGATCCCTCCCTATACAGATACTTTGATTTTAAAAAGAGCAACATTTATTCACTAAGTCTTTTTTCAGCATCCCTGAATGTCCCATTCTATTTGATTTTTCTAATATTATTTTATTATTCATTTATTCCACAGATATTTGCTCATTTACATACTGGTTTTTCGGTCCTTTGCATTGCTGTGTTCTAAAGTGCACTTGTTTGCCCATTTTTGGGCATTTGCTGCTGCTTCTCTGCTCCATTCCTAAATGTCACAAGAAAAAAAATGCACTTAAAGATTCAACTCCAATAGAGCATATGCTTTATAGTCTGATTGGTAGACTGATTTGCACTATTTTAAAAGCTTCTATAGATATATTCTGTAATTGTCTTTGGTATGAAGGATCTTTTTGTTAGTTGTGTGTGTGTGTGTTTATGGGCCCCAGTGCCAATTTCCACGTGAAAAGAAGTTCATAAATGATGTGTCTAGTGAGAGAAATACCTAATACAATAACACTGGCAATTTATGATAGGAGAGGAAACACACCTAGGATTTTTAGTAATAGTGCTACTCTAAATACTCATCAAATATATTGAAGTATTTAAATTATACTTCAATAGTAATAAACTGGCCTAGATTATTCCCAATTCCACTTACAGCCCATTGCATTCAAATGGGAGAGATCTAGCTTTTATGGACTATGCCTTGGAAAGTGGACTGTTATTTATTCTTAATGGCACTGATTTTGAAGGAAAGGGGACTCCTTTATTTTAGACTAGGGAAGACAGTGAACAAGAAGTGTAACGGCTTCACATTTGATGTCTGAAGATTTGGCTTCTAATTTTGCCTTCCCAACCTAATAGCCCTTGACAAATTATTTAACCATATAAAGGAAAATTAATTTCTGTCCTGTCCGTAACACAGCTCAAATGAAATAGCAAAATAGAAGCAAAATTATGTAAACACAAGGTACTTAAGAGATGTCAGTTACCAGCTCCCTGCTCTTATCGTGACTTGTCACATCACTAGCCTTTATCACTGCCTCTTACCATCTTTAGCATGTTGCTGGCAGGTGGAGAGACTGATCTCCTTAGTTCATTGTGTTTATCTACAATCTCTTTTTGGACTTGTGTTCGAGTAGTTGACAAAGCAGGAAAGGATGGATCCTAAAGAGAAATAATATTATGGTTACCATTTTAACATTTGTTAAAATTGATCCCTCAGCCCTTGGACAGCTTTGAGGTGCCCAGCTGCAGAAGGCTTTTCCTGGAGTTCACCTCCCTGTTTGACTGCCAGAAAGCCATGCAGGGCCTGAAGGGTCACAAGTTTGCCAACAGAGTGGTTGTCACAAAATACTGTGACCCCGACTCCTACCACCTCCCCCCCTCCCCAGGATTTCTGGTAGAAGTGGAGGGGGAGGGTGGGGGCAGGGCTGTCCGGGGGCTGCTCCCCCCCCACTCCTCCCCTTTCCCCCTCTGAAGAAGTTGGGCACAGGAGTGAAGCTGAATGACAGCTAGCAGCAACTTAAGTGGCAGCAATTAGGGTGGGGGTGAGGTGTGGGTGGGGAGGGGAATAGGGAAGTCTGCACACAGGCCCACACAGACACATGCATTCACAGACATAGAGGGAAGGGGTTAGGAATGGGAGGGGGTTCACAGCAGGGCGGTAGGACCCCCATAGCCCCTCCTCATAACAGCCTCTCCTCCCTTTTACTCTCTTTCTCCCTTTCCCCACTGTAGAAACATAGTGTGTTTATGATTTATGGCCAAACTATTTTGATA